TAATTATATTAAAATTTAAAAAAAGTAGATCATAACAATATTTATGATAATTTTCTAGGCAAATTTGCCTAGAAAAGTCTACAGTTTAAGGGATAATATAAATTGTCCTATGACTATGTAGTCTAAGAATCCGCCATGATCCCAACGGCTTTAAAAGGTAGTTGATTATCAAATAAGAAAACAAACGGTGATTGGTATAAATTTAGCCTCAAGGATTTTCATAGACTAGTTATAGACTTAAATGGAAGTCTTGAGAATTTTCTAATCGTACAAAAAAGGGGGTGATCTGCATCATCCAAATTTGGTAATATCCGAGACTGTAATAGATAGATACAGTAGATAGATTCAGATAAATTTTAGCGCAGGATATATTTTCATAAAAAATTTACCTGGTTACAGCAATTTATTTTTTTTAACATGACCTTGTATAAAATCCCATCTTCCCCAGGTGCGCCAACAGAATTTCACAGTCACGTGACAACCGACAAACATTTTTGAAATCGTTAGAGTTTGGTCATCGCCTATATTAAGGTTAGCCTTTGAGCATTTTAATAGTAAAATTGCACAAGGAAAACTTTTTGTTACTGCACAAAAGGTGGTTTATTATGCTTATTTTTGAAAAACAAGCAATTTTTTCAAAGCGAACGTTTGTTTTGAATTTTCCTGATCGTATTACGTTACACGAACACATGATTCGTCATTGGCTAAATTTTGTCGATCAACACGTGACTGTGAAAATTTTATTACAGTAATTTGTTGGCGCACCAGGGGTAGTTTACGCTATATGTAACACAAGAAAAATTAGTTTACGCCGTGCGACTAAAACATAAGTTTCTCGTCATGGAAGCATGTTTTAATTTATCATGATCAATTTAATTTTGCAATTGGAAAATATTTACTATGTAAAGATTCGTTATCTCGAGCTTGTAATAGCGATAGAGTTACTAAATATAGTAATAAATTTATTACGAAAAATTTCGTAACGCAAGCAACGTCCAGGTATTAACTTCAAGCATGACATCAATATTACGGAATTAGCATGGAAAATAATAGACAAATATTATTATTATTGTAAGTTATTTGGATTTTGTAGAAATTCTTAAAAACTATTTATTTTATTCGCGTTGATTAAAAGTTATTTGTATTTAAATTTATGAGTCGCACGAATAACGCGAAGAGAATATAATACGGGTGATGAATGGTGTGAGCATTGATCAATCACTTATCAATCGACCATACTCAAGAAAAATTTTTTTATGATCGGTCACGATCAAATAAATCAAAATGATCGAATTGATCATCATTTCTAGTCAGAAGAAGAAAGTACCGACTCCTGTATAAATGTGAACAAAATTTTTTAATACATATAATAAAATGACAGATAATAAATGATAAGAAACAAATTAGTAGATATATACATCATCGGAATCAGACGCCTCATTAATTGATTCGTTTGTATGATCCATTATATCAAGACCATCTTCACTAATGTCATCACTACTGCTTTCAACATAAACAGTTTCAACCCCATTTGTTGTTACAGCTCCTTGAGTTTTCCGCATCGCTATCTGTTGCATTATTAAATCTAAACGTCCCTGAAAATTCAACAATTTTTGGAATACAGCCGATCGAGAATCCAACGCTTGATAAAAATTTGAGAGTTTATGAGTTAGATCAGGTACCTGAATGTGAAAAAAACAAGTGAATTTATTACGATGAAATCAGAAAATTTTAAACGAAACTCATGTTTCGTAAGAGTGAATAATGAATAACGTACAGTCATAAGATAAGTCATATGTATCAATGTCACAGCTTTTATCCATTGTAACATATTCATTACGGATTTAGGTTTTTCATAAAATCTTGTGATCACCTTTTCTAAGAAAGGTATGATATACCTTGTAGGTAATTTTCTAACGGTGTTGTTAACAATATCTGGGCTTGTTTGTTCTAAAACCAAACAAAAAAGATGATCATCATTTGAGTGTAATGCTTGAACTAACATTTGCTGCATAGAATTTCCTTGGAGTGTTTTAAACTTTGATGCGTGAGATGATTGTTGAGACATTTCAGAATCCACACTCATCAAATCAAGATCTTTCAACTTTGTTTCTAACGTTTCTTCCTAATTAAATATAATTATCATTATGTAAAAATAAACGCGACATTTATAACAATCAATATATAAAAATAAACGCGACATTTATAACAATCAATATATATATCTATATAATATAATGTACCCGAGTTGATGAATTTTGTGCCAATGAATATTGAATAGGCTTATCAATTTCTGTGGGAGGTTTTGGTATTTCGTAATTTGAACTACTCAGCACATTGGCTTTTGATTCATTGTATGGGTTTTGTGTAGCAGCCTTTTGTAATTTGTTAAATTTGTACAAATTAGAACTTTGTGATTACATATATACAAGAATCTTTTAACAAAGTATATTCAAATTCACCAAATTTTTTGTCGCCAAACTTGATTCATCTACTAAGAAATTGGTTGATGGATTACGTATTAATGTTACATTTGGTAAGTACTCTCCACTTTCTTTATTGATAAATCGCTAATAATTTAGTGCATTTTGTGGCATTAGGATTAATCAGGATGAAAAATTAGAATGGAAAATTATTAAAGATGAAATTCTGAAAAAAAAACATACCACTTTTTCAAAAATAGGTTTTACTGTATTCCCTCTGGCGATCATTATAAATCCACTTTCTTCATTTTCATTTTCGTTCAAGAAACATGCAGAAATAATTGGTATTACAGTGTTATCATTTTCATTTAAAACCTTAATTATACAATCAGGCGTTTGTGTTGTAAATCGTTTTTTCTTTTTATTTAACTGCACGGGAGAGCGGGAATTCACATCTCTGAAAATATTTATAGTACCCGTTTCAGAAATTGCCAGAATGGCATTAAATTTAGATATCGAAAGACCTCTTGTATCCTCATCCAAAGTTAGTGCTGAACCATTTTACATAAAGAAAGAATACATTAAGTATCAATCTGATGGATATCAGTGGCGTAGTTTAGTCATTAAGCGAATAAATGAACATTTATTACCAGCAAAACCAACGCCTTGTGGCTCATTTCCATGACATTGCCAAATATTTATGAACCTATCATGCTCTGCGGTAGATACGCAGAGATCATCACTTGTTGAGAACATAATATTAGTTATTATGCTTACGTGTCCCGTGAAACTCTTGAGAACCTGCTTTGATCGTAAATCCCACAATTTGATGGTATGTCCTGCGGATAACAATTTGGTCTCATCATGCGAAAGTGTAATAATATATTTAGTCGTTTGGGTGTCAACCTTCCATTTACTGTTGCAATATATGATACGTGTCAGTTAATAACTAATAGATGAATGAATCTATCCTAACCTACAAGTACCTAATTACATCTCCTTTTTCAAAATCCCATTCAACAATGTACGCGTCTTCGGCGCACGAATAAGCTTTTTTTCCATTTTTAGAAAAAACAAAGTTGTTAATCGGTAGCTTATGTGAACCACTCAATGTTTTTACAATGCCTCCGTGAGCAATTGAGTAAATAGCAATAGATCCATTCTGTAGTCCAAGAGCGATAACTTTGCTAAATTGCTGAATTTGTGTTGATAATTTCTTTTTCTTTTTTGGTGGAGGTGTGTCCTAAAGTGAGGATAGTTTCATTAGTATATAAATTATTAATGTATATATAACGAGGAAAGTGAAAGGACTTATGCGTGCCTTGTACGACTTACAACTTTGCCATTCAAATCCTCGTCATATACTTTTCCCCAAGACAAGCAGGTGAATTTATCTTCTTTATCCGAAGAAAATTCATTGTTAACTGTACCCGTATGCGTGTCAAATACCCTGAGACGGTGACGATCTACATTTTGAGTGACTAATGCAAAAAAATCTGAAGCTAAATCAAAACTTGCTAGAAGTGATTCAGTTTTAATGGAATTCGTTGTTGGGTGTGTCTCACTAATGGCTGTGTTAAAATTGTTTAAATTGTTTCTTGGCTTATTCTTCGTCTTCCCCATAATTTTAGAAAAAACTACGAAAGTTACGGTTTACCAATCGCAATAACTTTTTTTTTTTTTTGTATGTACGTGCGTAGATAATCAGCGAACTATGATTGGAGAAAAAATTTGCCTTTTTGGTATGTCTTTGGCACTCAGGGGAATATGTCACATGGTGCTGCACATTTATGAGTGGTAAATCTAAAGATATCAAAAACATCGTCCAAGTAATGTCGTTCTGCGGCTTTCAATTTGTTAACAACGAAAGTTTAACAAATAGTCTTTATGTAAGCGGAAAAGGATTCCGGACTCAAAGTTTACCATCTATGGAATCTTTGCAGTGGAAATTTAGATCTTGATTAGCAAAATAAGGTTTTAAAGGATTGGCCCCCAATAAGACCGGTCCATTACAGCTGTTCTTATAAATCTTGGGTTCATTATTTTGGTATACTTGCAAAATATTTCGACTAACACTTTTCTGCTCTTAATCTTGTGCCAAGTTAACACGAACAATGACGTTGCATTACATTCTATATAATTAATAAAAACCAAATTTTAGGGGTTTATTTACTTTGCAAAGGTACATACCGTAAAACGCCGTATAAGGTACCCGGGTATCTTACAATTCACATGATAAAAATTTGATTTGTACCCCCCGG